TAAAAAGGTGGGTATTTTCACCATATTAGCACGACAACAGGATTGTTTGGTAATACAGGCGAGTGAAAGGGGTATGTCAGAGTCATTTTGTCTAATTCTCTTCTTTTCAAAGGAGGTGACGTAGGTACGTTGCAGTGGGGTTGTATGTATCCAAACCCAAGAAGAAAAAAAAAGAAAAGGAGTGATGGTTCAATCAAGATTATCTATCAGGGGTCAATGAGAAGAGCAACGTTTTACCCATTGATTGAGGTCATGTCAGCAGGCTTACATAAGGTGGGCCATAGGCCATAGCATATCGTTAACTGGGTTCCAATCCGATGACGAAGAAAGCATCTTCACATGGGGGACCCACCACTACTTCAAAACAAATAAGAAAAAAAAAAAAAGAGGAAGAAAAACTAACAGAAAAAAAGGGGAAAAGAGCAAGCAAGAACAAGATGGTGAGTGCCTGAGTGGTGGTGGAGAATCCTGGAATTTCGGCTCAATAGAAAAAGGCAGCATCATATCTTATTATTCAACCACGCTGACATCGCATGAAGAAAAAGAGGAGAGAGAGAGAGAGAAGGAAGGAAGGAAGAGAAAAATAATTAATAAATGAAGAAAAATTGATAATATTTAATGAGTATTTTCCTTTTCTTCGGAGTAAGGAAAGAAGCATTTATATGTTAGTGGGAAGGCGTGATGTAATGTATTTATTTTATAGAGAAGAAACCCCACAACCATAAAATAGGAACAAAGCAACTTATAATTTTTTTTAGAAAAATTTTGACAGAGCACGTATTATTTTGTATGCATGTAGGGGATGTATGAATTTGTTTATTCTTGTTTATATAATAATAAATCAAAGAGAGAGAAAGAGAGGGGGAGAGAGAGACGTATAATGTGGGGTGACGACGCCCAATCCCCACCACAGATGATGGGGTATTAGTTTCGCTAACAACGTCTAATCTCTAAAAGAAACCCACTTCCCCCTTGGTATTGAAATCACCTAAATGACAAAACAAATTGTTTAATTTCCTCTTATTCTTATATTTGTAAGGTTGAGAATTATGTTTAAAAGCATGGTTTTTAAAAATGAACCGGTGATCGAACCGGTCAGGGGTCCGGTTACCGGTTTGAACGGTCTGGCCGTTTGACTCGAATAGCCGGTCCTTTCTGACAAAAAAAAATTGGAAAACGATCAAAACCGTTCGAACAGTTAACCAGCTGGTTCAACGGTTTGCTGACCAAAATCAATGGTTTTGGGGGAAAAAACAGTTTTGGAGGAAAACGGAACTGGTCAGGTGATCGATTCTCAGTTTTTTCGATCCGGTTTTGAAAACAGTGTTTAAAAGCTAAAGTTTCATTCACTGGGATTGGGGAGTTGAAGATAGAGTTCAAATCAACACCCCACAAAATAATTTCCCACAGCATATTCCCCGCCATGTGTTGGAAACATTTCCTAATGATAATATTGGAAATGATGAGGCATCATTAGGAGATATTCTCAATACATGGCAGGGATGTGTTGTGGGACGTTATGGGAAACTATCTTTCTGGGGGGCTGATTTTAACTCTTGAAGATAGCTTATGAATTTTTGGTATGATCAGTAGTTCGAGGTTAGAGAGGGCCATGAGGGGATTGGGGATAAGGGTGGACAAGAGCCGAGTTTTTCACAAGTTATTCAAGTTTAGCTTCTGAGAAGCTTGATTAAGTTCGGTTTATGTCGAGCTTGAATTCAATATGTAGGTTTGTTGCTAATCAAATTGAGGTTGAGCCTAATGAGCTCTGGCTCATGAGGGTTGCAAGCTTAATTGAACTTATATTATATATATATAATATTTTTAATTTTTATATAATACATAATAATAATAAATAATATTTTATATGTATAATTTACATGTGTAACTTTTTATTTTTTATATGAAGCTTCGTTCACTATTGAGCTAAAGCTGAGCCGGGCTCAAACATGAGTTTTTGAATTGATCCAAATTTGACGTCATGTTTTTAGTTCAAATCGAGCTCAAGTTCGATGTTTTTCTACAAAACCAAACTCAAATAGCTAGTTATTTAACTCAATTCAGCTCGAATCCATTCCTAATTAGGAAAGCTCGTATCCCCATATCAAATTAACTTGGTGGTTGAACCCCATCCTAATCTACTATCCACAATCTATTCCCACATCCCTATCCACAAAGCATCACTGCCGTCAATTGAGAACATCTCCCTATGAATCAACAATGAAGATATTCTCAATGTACAATTATAGTGTCCGATGGGTAGGGATGGGAATAGCATTTGGGTAGTAGATTTGAGCCCAGTTGCTGCCCTCTTTAGTGAAAATTTTGGGGGTCGGCCTGGCACGGCCCACGGCCCAGGCTCGTGTGGGCCCGTGCCATGTAGTGGACCGGGCTGGCCCGTGGGCTGAGCCTTGGGCCTGGTTGGGCTATGCATAGAGCCAAAGTTATTTATTTAAAAAAATTGACAAAAAACTTAAAATTTTAATTTTATATAAATTTTGTGTATACAATTGCTTATATATAATAATTAAATAAATTAGTATAATAAAATAAAAAAAATTATTTATTTTATTAAAATATATTATATACTATATATTAGTATATATTATAATTTATATAATATTATATAAAATATATATACGGGCCATGCTGGGCCGGGCTGCGGGCTAGGCCGTGCTGTGCCGTGTCGACCTATGGACCTAAAACCCCAGGCCCAACATGACCCACATGATCATATCGAACCTAACACAATCTACTAATCATCGTGCCAGACTGTACCAAACTGATCTAAATTCATGCCGATTGTCCCAAACCAAAAATAACACGACCCGATTTACACCTCTACCTACAAGCCGTAAAAACACATAAAAAACCTGGTGTGGGGTGCAGGACGAGCTTAAATTGTTAAGATTGCATAAGAGTTACCTATGACTTTGAATCCCTATTTATAATCGAGGCTTCCCAAGAGGGCGTTTGATAACAGCTTCACACATTTACCCCTTTATAAATATATCAGTAGAAGCTCGACTAAGATCGTAATGCCTGTCATCGAGGCTCCGCATTAATCCACACGAGAATGTCCCCTACCATAAGATGACGAAATTACCCTTTAAAGATATACCACAAATCAGTGGCGTGGTGAATAATATTAACTACATCATCTTGGAAAATAGTCACCAGCCAACTATGTCTAATTCCACTCCACCTGGGCAAATGAATCCATATTAATTTTTGGCAATGAGTGAGCAAAAGGAAAAGGAGGGAGCGTTAGGGATCCAATCCATCCATGATCCATGGACCATGGTGTAGGCATAGTGTAGAAATTGGCCCCCATAATTGGTGGGCTTTGCGGGCACGCATATCCAACAAAAAAATTGGTATCATATTTACACCGAGGATGAATGTTTAGAGTCGTGGACATATAGATAGGTCATAGGGGGCCAAATAAATAGATGATGACTGACGAGCACGGTACCCTACCCCCCTCAAGGCCTCAACTCAATCAATAATTACACATTTATTGTGACTATTGCTTTTTTAACCTCCAATAGTCCAATTACAATTTGGATCCCCACTGGGCCACTGGCCTCTCTCCTCTCTGGCTCCCCCTCTCTCCTCTTTGTCCTTGTGGCCCAATTATCAACTACAGTATATATTTAGGAACAGGCCCACACGGTATCCCACCCACCCANAGTGAAGAAGAGTTGTATAAAGTGGTTGTTAATGTGCATTTTTTGAAGGGGACAACGCATGACAAATCCATACCATTCAATTCATGATGATGATGATGATCATCATCATAAGGATGTGACTTGTGAGTGTGTGTGTGTCTTACAATTACAAATCACAGATGCATGCATATAACATTAGGTTGTCCTTGTTCATGGGCCTCATGGCCATTTTGGCCCCATGCCTCACAATGGGTTACATTCTTCACTTAAATAATAGCCTCAGTCTCAGCCTGTCCTTTAATGTCTTTTTCAACATTGTAAGAAAGCCCAGGCATACTTGCTTGGTAACTGAGAGGAGAGGAGATATTCTTATATTACTCATTCACTTGCCATCGCCTCTTGATTAGGTTGCCGCGTGTCAAACTCAATAAATACTGTCCTTTGGTCTCATGCAGAAAGTAGGGAAGGTGATGAATCCATCTTATTCTTACCTCAATCTCATGTTAAGTGATTTGGGTTTTTAATTGGGCTTGCGCACTGCACTCGCCCACCCCTCTTTCTTTTTCTTTCAGTCTTTTACATTTTACAGCTGCCTTTCTGAAAAGACTGAAATACCCCTTTACTTTTTATCCTTATCATTACAAATAATAATGGTTCCCTTGTTTTATCAAAATAATTTCTTTATTTACGGTGAACGACTGAAGTGATTCTGTCGCATTTTCTGTGTTCATGGTGGGCATTATGGTCAACATAAAAATCATTAGCAATTTTAAAGGAGGAGCGTTTTTCGTAATTCCGAAAAAGCATGGGCCCAAAGCTATGGGCTTCATGGCCATTCCTGCAACATAAAAATCAGAAAAAATAAAAGGAATTTAGAATTCTGAGGTGGAGTGCAGTATAGTTTTTACAAAAAAACAAATAATATATAAGAGAAAATGAAAAGGCTTTGTAGAGCAGTAGGTATAGGATAGGACAGCTCTTTGGAGAAACCCCCTCTCTCTTTCTCTCTCCTCTCTTCTCTCTCTAATACTTGGATACGGATACGGGGGGCTGAATGAAGGTGCTGTTCAATAGTACAAAACTACAAACCTGCTTTTGGTGGAGAACCTGATGCCCTTTGATGTGTGAGTGGGTGGTGCTGTTTCTTTCTTTACTGTGGAAGATGTTAGAACACAAATCTCTCTCTCTCTCTCTCTGCTTCTTCTCCTCTTTGATTTCTAGTTTTCTACACACCGACTTTCTTTCTTTCTATTTTTCTGTAATATTTTGAGTAGAAACCATTAGGGAGAAGCTCCTGACTTGAAGGTTTGTATGATTTTATGTTATCTTCTCGGTTATTTGATGATCTTCTTCGCATCTTTGGCTAGTTTTTCTTTTGTTTTTTTTKKTTTTTTTTTTCTTTCATTTGGAAGCAGCTGTTCCTTTACTTTTTTTTTCTCAAATGGATTTAATGGGTTTCTTTTCCTAACAATCTGTTGTTGGGTTTCCTTTGGATTTGCTGATGATTATGCTTTAGTTATTTCAGTTTCGTCTTGCATCTGAAAAATTCAAATTTTTTTCCCTTCTTGTAGTTTTATCTCCGGAATGGGATGAAGTTCGGAAATAGAAACCGTGTTATTTCATGCTCTCTTCTCCTCACCTTTTGAGCTTGTGGGTTCTTTTACCTTGTCTCACGGGTTCATATTCCATATTTTCTGTGAATTTGCTCGTGGGTTTTGAAATTTTTGGGTTTGATGGGTTTTTAGAACCTCCTTTCTTTATGCTATTAGTTACTTTCTCTCTCGCTCGCTTGCCCTCTCTCCCTCCCTCTATGCGATAATTTTGGATTTAGGTTTCTCTTTCCCACGCTTATTTTCTTTYTTCATCTCAGATTTCACATATGATCACTGATTTTTGTTTTTCTTCCATCACTCCCTTTAATGGGGGTTTGATCTTTCCAGCTAAATGGACTTGATTTCGGTAGTATGTAAGATTTTACTGGTTTTGGGATGTCTATTTCAACTTTTTATATCTTTACCTTGTATTTCTACTGGATTAGTCACATAAAATGACGTTTAATAGATACTTCGATCTTCCATTCTCGTCTTTGCTGGGTGGGTTTCATCTTCTCTCCCACCTTCATGTTCTTCTTTTAGATTCATGGTTGCCAAAGAACTACATCTACCGTGAGTTTAGAAGATTCAGGAGGCTTTATTTCCCTCAAGTTCACTCATTCTTAGCACATAAAATAACGTTCTAGAGTCCTCTAGAAGCTGGTTTTTAGCTTTTGTTCCTCTTAAGACTCCTGAGATTTGATATTTACTCTTATTAACTGCTATATGCAGGCTTGTGGATGAAGAGGCGACTGAATCTTCTTCTGGGGCTTTGATCTTCACTGGTGTTGGTGATGTGAGTTGAAACTCTCAGTTCTTTGTTATGCTGGAGGCTAAGTACAAGATAAGTCCAAGTTGTAGCCACATCTCTTGTGTCTGTTGCAGAAACAGCACAAGAGGAGAGAAGCTTTTCTGCAGATGTTATCCATTGAAACCTCTTCAGATCCCTCGTGTTCTTGCAAGACTTCTTCTGTACCGATAAGCGATGAAAGGGCTTCAGAAAAATTTGCCTTACAAAAGGCAGATCTGTTGAAGTCAGGCCTTGCTGATCCCCAGCTCTCCAACTTCTCAATAAGGTATTGTTTCTCATGTTCTGATTCATGGTATCTGCATATTAACTTTCTTGTGTTTATTTTGATGTCAGCAAGGCTTTAATCTGTTCGTGGAGATCTCACTAATCCAAGAAGTCTTTCGAATCAGATCCTGAGTTATATGGTCGTTGGTTTATGGCTTTTGTATCGTGACTTCTGCTTGGTCCTCTTTCTTCTTCTGCTTCTTTTCCTTTTTGATCAGGATCCATATCTATTGTGACTTTTCTCGACGTAGGTGTTCTGAATGACAGATTTTGGGTTTCTTGACGCTCAACCTATTAGCTTGTTCATGGGTTTTACTTGGTTATATATAAAAAAAGAGACCTTGGTTTTGATAGCTAACAACATCTAGCCATTCCATACAAAGATGTTTTGTCTTTGCCTTCTCTCAATCCATACGCTTATTCATATCGCTCGAGTAGTATCTAACCTTCCAATCCGAATTCAGATGTTCTGTCTTTGTCCTCTCTCTATCTATCTGCCAGTTCATGTCAATTGACGGGTATCCCACGCCTTCGAGTGCTAGTTGGGATAGTCTGGCACTATTTTGCTTATTCTGTTGATATCTGTTCCATGCTTCTTTTCCTTCTTCTGGGTCCTGGTTCTTGTTTGATGGATATGATGGGTTTCTTCGAGTTTATTTGATCATATAATTTTGTCTTTCATTTGGTATTTCTTCTCAGTTTCTCTGCGGTTTAGTAGATTCTTTACCGTTGAGTTTGATTCCATGGTGTAAGGCTCTCTCCTCCTTTTGAGTTTGAGCTTGAAGCTTCAGTTTGGGAAGAGTGCAAATACAAGGTTTAGAAATCCTGTACACAAGGTTAAGGTTTTACACTGAACATATTTCTGTTTGGAATCTTCCCAAACCGAGCCTGACGTACAATAGAACCCTCAGAAGGTTTGGAAGAGAAACTTGCATTAGATTATTGTTGTTATTTTTGGATTGTATTTCTAAATATTCCCGAGTGAATTGCTCATCATTCTGACTGCTGATGTTGGTTTGCGCTCATTAGTCCTGGAAATCCTTGGTCTAAAATTCTTGGTTTGCCTTGCAGAGGTTATGTTTTTGCAGCCCGCAGCAAGGATATTGCAACAAACTGGCCTTTTGCTCAGCAGTATTTGCAAATTTGCTTGAGGCATGGCATTAAGGATGTATTACCACCTTTTGAACCTCCTGATACAGTGAAAAACCGTTGTTTAAGGAAGTCTGTAGGAAACGATCAACTCTTTGTCCGAGTAGATGGCTATGAAGGAGTAGATAAAGATCCATATCCATTACGGGAGAAGGAGAACCTGACATTAGGTCCTGAAGACGCAAACTTGAGCAGATCATCGATATTGTCTGGTTGCAATGAGACAAGAGGAGAAGGAGATACTCAATCAACAGTGAATTGTCCTGCCAAATCCCAAAGTGAATCGCTTCCAACCAACAGACTCTCTTGTTCAGCCCAAGGAGCCAGTACGTTGTCAGAAACCTCAGTAGAAGTTAGAGCTCTAGCAACTTCTGGTGCATCACACAAAGCACAAAATACAACTGAACAATCAGGTAAGAAGTGTCGGTTGATGGTAAAATTGGGTATCCACTCCAATCCTAGCCGCGGTGAAGATTTTGCTTCCAATACAACCAGCATATCAGAACCCATGGCTTCGAAAGTTTGCCCTGTTTGCAAGACATTCTCATCCACCTCAAACACCACGTTGAATGCTCACATTGATCAATGCCTGGCCATGGAGTCAACTGCCAAATTTTCTGTTAATTTTAAGCCAACCAGACATAAAATAAAGCCAAGGAAAAAGAGGTCAATGATAGATATTTGTGCAACAGCGCCTCCATGCACCCTGGAAGAGCTTGATAAGAGGAATGGTTCAAACTGGGCTGTTGAATTGAGCATGCCTTGTTCACATGCTGAAGTTTGTGCTGAAGGGAAAAGGCAACGGCTCTCTCCTGAAGTTGAGGATAGTGGTGATGAAGGTGCAGTTTATGTTGATTCTAATGGAACAAAGATTCGGATTCTGTCAAAATTTAACAATGTTTCAGCACCAAGTGTTGGAGGAGATTCCAGGCCAAGGAAGCATATAAAATATGGTAATGAAAGAAAATTCTTTTATTCTGGAAAGAAAAGACGCCTTGGACCAAGGAAGTTCAAGTATCTAAAACTTAAATCTCAGTCTGCGAGACTATGCTCTCCAAAGGTTGATCAAAATAAGGTATGTCTATGCTGTTTTTATTTATATGCTCCTTGACCTTGTATAAGGATTCACTATATTTTCTGTCTTTTGCTGATACATACAAGTTATCTGGGTGGGGCAAATACAATTTGTCAAGCAAATTGATGCTTAAAGTAATTTCCTTGCTGGTAATATTCAACCTAAGCATTTTTCTAGTGGGTGATTCACTTACTGTTGATTTCAGCTACCTTGGGTCGATACAATCTGCTTGGAATTTGAATTCTATTGCTAAAATTGACCTTAACTTGTGAGTTCGCAATAGATATAGAATGATTCCTATTGTACACTGGTTTTTTGGTTCTATTTTGAGCCTGTGTTGCTAGGCATTTGTATTATGAATTCCAACGAGTATGAGATACTTCCATATTACATTCTGCAATTTTTTCACATGTTTTGAGTTACATACTGTTGTTTGTTTTTGATAAACAGATGCATGAAGCCTCCGAAGAAAGAGATGGGATGGAGGAAAACCATGAGAAAGAAGAAAGTCTGTCTCAACTCCTGAAATCTCATGAAAGTATTCAATCCTGTGAGTTGGGAACATTAGGACAGTGGCCGTGCTCCAAACGCACTGGTTTGCTAAAGAAGTTTCGCAGCCATGATCACCATCACGGTCCAGAATATTCCTCACATGAGATATTGGGCTCATTGAATGGGAGGAACCAATCAAATTTAGGCAAGTTTTCTGTTGAGAGGAAGTGTATTCAGAAGCTTTCTAACTCATCATTGGAGAATGCCATGTCTTTGAAAAGCAAGAGAGTGGCGAGCCCAGGAGTTCAAACCATTGGCAATAAGCAGATGTGTTTTGAAACACCTGAGAATAGTCAGAATCAATTGAACAAAGGCAGCAGTTCTACATTTGATGAGTGTATGGTGAGGCTTCCAAGGTCTTCAGGAAATCATGCCTCTTCTTCAAGAGGCAATAGAATGGAGGTTTGCTCAAGCCCAGACAAAAACTCTGGTAATTCACCCAAGGGAAAAGCAAAACAAACCAAAAATTCTCATGCTTTCTTAGAAATGGGAAAGAAACTTCCTACTTTGAGGAAGAGCATGCTAGTGGTCAGTCCACCATTCACTAAAGCCAAGTTTAACGACCATAAAGAGCATTTGGTCTCTGAGAAGTCTCAATTGCATAGAAATGTGGAGACAGTTAACAAAGTAGGGCATTCTTTCTCAGATGTGAGTAAACCATGTGATGAGATGCAAGATTACAGTGGAAACCAATCTAGAAGCCTTAACCGGATAGAAGGGATTTATGATCCAGATTTTTGGCCTCAAATAGAAGGGACTATGGATGGATGCTTAGTTGGCAGAAGCAATGCATCTGAATCCAGACAAGGAGCAGTTCCATGTGCCTCAGAAGAGGGAGAACCAACTCTGAAAGTTTCAGAGTCCATACCTGGTTGTAGTAGTCATAATCCAGATGCAGTTATAGATTCCCATGCTGGAGTTGATCAATGTTGTGGAGATAATGTCACAGATAACTATGATGGCCTAGAATCTACTACAGACAAGATTCCAAATGAGGAGGAGGATTCCATTACTGAACTTGTATCCAGGAAAACTGTCAAGGTCACCCTTATAAGATCATACAAAAACCCAGTTTCAGAACCTAATAAACTGGGTAATCATTCCAAGATCCAATCCAAATGCTTGCCCTCTATTGAAGAGCATAAACTACCGGCATATGGAGCTGAAACACAGATGGCACCAAGCATACCAGGTTTTAGAGATTATAAAGAGACCGATTGCTCCAATGAAATTGATTATGGGAATGGTACACAGAATGCTCATATGGAAACAGAAGATTGTAGAGTTGGGGGTGAAACTTCTTTTGCTGAAGTTGATCCAATACCTATCCCAGGACCACCGGGATCATTTTTGCCAAGTCCTGGGGATATGGGTTCTGATGCTCTTCAGGAAAACTCATCTTTAACCTCTAGCAGGGCTGAATCTTCTCAAGATCAACAAATTGTGATTGATGGAGATCCATCTGGATCTCCTCTTTCTGTCTCCTCAACCATCTCCCATTCCTATATGGGAAAATTTGATTTAAAATATTCAGAGCCAGAATCATCCAGTGGACTTTCTGAGGTTCAAGACAAGTTTATGCCAATCTTCTCATGTACTAGCACTGGATCAGCAATGGCAGGTCCTGCTAAATTTCCATGCACAGGGAGCATAAGTGGAGAAGACAGCAATTTCCATAGGGAAAATCTACAGGTTTTTATGATCTCTCCCACAAAAGAACCTGAAAATTTTATGGATAACCAGAAATGTTGTTGCTTTAAGAACACAGACATGTCTCAGGTGGCTGCCCAAAACTATGAAGATTCACAACTGAAGCAATGTATAGCCTCAGAAATGCTTCCTTCCAAGGGAAGTCAGATGAGTAGCAATGTAAACATAGGGCTGGGAAAGTCAACCTCATTTTGCACTTCTCCAAACTCAAGTACTGACAAGATGGTGTTCCCTGTGCTGGAATTTTCCAAAGATCCCTCTTCAATGAAAGCCTCTTCTGATGTTGCTACAAGCTCTCAAAGTTGTGTTTCCAATCCTGCCAGCACATCCTCTCAGGTTCATCACCATGAAGCTGCTACCTCTACTCCTGTTCTGAGGTTAATGGGAAAGAATTTAGTGGTAGTGAACAAAGATGAGGAGACACCTGTGCAACCTAGATATTGCACTGTTGGGAATCAGGGAAACCCTCCTAGCACAAAACATTTGACACTTCTCAGATTTGCCAATAATGTCACAAATCAGGAGAGCATTTCTTTCCATCATGCTGCTCCTGATGGTTCTGCCATTATCACCCAGGATTCCAAACCTTCACCACAATGTTTTGCTGTCAATCTTTCAAATGGCTTAAAAAATCACTATACTGTTGAGGCACACCAAGCAGCAGGAGGCATCTGCCACGGTATGCATGCAGGAAGTTTTGATTGTCCTTCCTTGCAACAGCACAAGCCAGATGGTAATGGCAACATACAAGGTCAACACAAGAGGTCAACTAATAAGCTCAGTTCTTTTTCTTGTAATGTTGAGAGAGTTGTTTCTTCTCCACCACTTCAACATCAGAATGCTGCTTCTGCTTCTCATCGCATACAAGAGGTGATCATCATTGATGACTCTCCTGAAAGTGAAGAACCTGATTCAAGGAAGAAAGCTGAAATTTACAGTGAGATATTGAAAAGGAACCAGCAATCTCCAGTGCATATTTTGACTTCAACTGCTCCAAATTCCACTTTGAGGCAGATGAATCCATTTCCTTGTTATCAAACACTTCTCCCTTTTTCCCCAAGGGWGCCACCAGTTGGTCTCCGGCCCAATTTTCTTTTGACATGCACTGGAGGAGCAATTGCAAGTCCTGTGAAGTGGGGACTTACTTCTGAAGGTTCTGTTTTGCATGAAGCATCCGCAGTTGCCAAGCCTAGTTTTCTGGTGTCATGCCAAAGGAATGCAAGTGCGGGTCCTCTCAAGTGGGGAGGTAATTCTGAAGGTCCCAGTGCGGTAATGCGCAGTCCTTTCATGGTTCCATCATCATCATCTACAAATAATCTGAACCCAGCAATGTATTACTCTTCAAGCTTGTTGTAGTCGAAGAGTCTTCAAACCAAAAGGAAAAAGGGCATCTAAATTGTGAGAGCCATTTTGCATTTCTCTGAGCATAATTAGGGATCAGCAAATTTGTGTTGAGAGCTTAAGATCTTCTGATACCAGTGGTAGATTAAAATTCACAAGAAGCTGTTCTTCTGGAGAAGGAAATCATATACTTTGACCAAGGAATGGAGCAAGTAATGCAGCAGATATGAGTTATTGAATAGTTTTTTATATTTATTTCAATGCACTGATAGTTGGGTAAGATCCAAGTTTTTGAGACTGTTGGCTTGCAAAATTGCAGTCTTAAGCTTGCCCAAGAGTAGATTTATGCATATCTTGAATAATTGATCAATGTGAAAGTTCCTTTGTCAACTACCATGAATATAACCGGTCATAAATGGCAATCTTATCATGGTCTGGATTATTGGATGAGTGTTTACACAGTCGTGTATAACTTATATTTCACCCTTTCAGAGGATATTTAATACTTAATTTTGCTTTCGTTGATAACCCATTCTAGGTAAAAGTTGATTTGGTTGTTAGACCAGGTTCGATGGAAACAGCAACAATGTTTCTGCTATATTACCAACCCACCCCCGCCCAGCAGTTGTATCTTCAACCATTACTAAACAAGGAACGCTCGTGTAAGTTTTTGAAGCTAAGTGGCACAGACCAAGGAAGGTGTGTCTGTTATGTTCACAAAACTTTGTAATAAAAAACAAACATGATCAGCCTTTTTTAAGTCTTGCTGTACTGAACGTACGTGTATGGTTGGCATTTCAGTTGCTTATTTTCTCATGCATCATGGTCGAAAGAAACCAGCAGTTCACCTGTAACAGGCAAAGTGCATGTCACTTGTATGAGATGCATAGAAAGGAAACGGAAGTGAACGGTTTAAGCTGTTGTGTTGGATATGAAAATGATCTCTTTACGTAGCTACCGTGCTGGAAATTCAGAAGAACTCCTGTTGGAGAACTGATTCTCTCTCTCGCTTTTTTGGGTCAAGAGAGAATTGATTCTAAAACCTGTTTTATTTTGTTTTTTTAATCATCTGATTTGATTGCTCTTCGTCTATTCTCCAAACGTTTGTTCATGGACGACTGGAACACGATCTCATGCACATACCTGTCGTTATTATTAAGGGCATCCATTGAAATCTTAGGTTCATGATTCCTAACACTGACTATCCATCTAGTTGTGGATTAAAGCCTCGCAACCCTTCGACTTTGTTTGATGATTTTGGTACAAAATGAGCACCCTGCAACAATGTTAGAGAGAGGCGAGTTGATCATCTGATCAAAACCTTGGTGGTTTGACACTTTGACTGATATTTCCTCTTCCTCATTAATATCACATAATGAGAAAGTAAATGATAAAGCAGCATCACAGACGTCACCAACACGTAAAAGAAAGGAAAGAAAGAGATAAATACAGCATAGAGAAAAAAAACAGAAGACCCCATAAGTAAAATTTAGAGAGAGAGAGAGAGACAGACCGACCGACCATAAAATATAGCCGTTATGACAGCCGTACATGAAAGAAACTACTGCAGCTCCTGCTACGTATATTTGATTCGAGAGAGGAGAGAGGAGAGAGGAGAGAGGAGAGGAAGGTCAAAAAGAAGAGGCGACATGAACCGTCGGATCTCCAAAATCTTTTATAAAATTGACGTATTTTAACTTTAGCTTTTGTTTATGTTGTTGGAATGTGCACTGCATGGAGAAAGCCAGACAAAGGCAATAACTCCATGGAAGACGAGAGCCTTTGACGTGGGCCATTCCCTGTCTTCCACGTCTTCACTGTTTAACTAATATCATATTCCCTCCCCTCTCTCCCTCCCTCCCTCCCTCCACCGTACAAATTTTATTTCTTTTTGGGGGTCCATGGAGATGCGTGTTTCAGCTGCCATCGTGCGCTCCCCCTCGTGTCGTACGCCTTGCCTTCATCCCAATTTCAAAAACTTTAATTTTCGTTTTGAACACCACGTTGTGTTTGGCTGGGACTTGGGAATCAAAACGGGATTAAATGAAAAAAATCAAAAAAGACTTTCTTTTTTCTTTTCACATAGGGTGGAACCCACTTTGCTTTCTTGCTTTATCAATGGTTTCCATCCATGTACCTTTTAAAAAATTTAAATCAAAGTAATCAAGAAAAAAATTTTGTTTTTTCTTTTCCTTTTTTTTTTTTTTTACTTCTTCCATTCAATGCAAAATAATGTGGAAGTACTTATTGGAAGTGTTTATCTAATAAGTATATATTAGGCCATATTTGTTTTTACTTACCTGATTAAGTGAGTTTATCCGGTTAAGTGTTTTTCAAGCAAAAGCAAAAGTTGGTTAAATAAGTTGGATTACGACATTCTTGTATGATATAACAGAGACATAATAGAAAGACCATTATGGGCTTTCAAAAAAAATTTGCTTATTGTGAAATCCAATATAACGGCAGCATAATCAATTATCTAATTCACCAATTTACCTTACAAAATACCATAAAATAAAACAAATGAGGTCTTGATATTTAAGAGTTGCTCTACATATGTTTTCCATTCTTTGAATTGTTATATTGGACTCGGGAGAGGAACATTCAATGCATGAGATGAAATCAAACCAAACCGTTTTAACTTGCTGAGACGATGATATTTCACCAGCCTCAGGACATGTGTCATTGGTGTGGTGGGGTTACATCTTACTACATGCATGAGATGAGGTTTTACATAGTTTTATTAATTAAATGAGATTTGGGTTCAGATTCAATGACTTGGAATTATTAAAACTTGCTTGATTTGCTTAAGATGGAGCTGTCTTACATGGTCAAGTTATTCATGTCTGGGAACTTGCTTCATTGAATGTTTTCCCTTAGTTAATTCTAACTTGTTTAAAATAGTTTATAGATGCCCTTTTTATTTATTATTGTTCCCTTTGTATTACACCAAATGGCAAATCAATGATGTCAATAGAAGAAGTTGGTATGGGGTTGGTGAATTACTTAACGGCAATTAAAGTTTGATAGGTCTTATGACTTATATATATGTGTGTGAATTTGCTAGTCAATTAAATTAATGCTCTAATATTTTGGATTGTAAAATTGGGCCTAGCTGAGCGTTGAGAGTATGTAGACCCTGATGTGAAACCCACAAACCCTAATGTGAATTTGCCTTTGATTGGTGGTTGGACAGGTACTATCATAATATCAACTTAGTTATAACATTAGATTAATTAAAACAGAAAAACTAGATTAGCATTTTTATTCTAACTACTTTAAAAGAAATAAATACATTTCGCAAATGAATCATCTTTTCTCTTACATTTTTCTAATACTCTTAAGCAGATAAGGATCTAACAACTAATAAGAAAGGGAAAAAAAAAAACATTGTTCTCAACAAGTAACATTTAGAACGATTTTGCATAAAAAAAAAAACAAACTAGAGATTGTAATTTGTAAAACACTAATAGAGAGATCTCCTCAAGTGTGTTTCCTCCTTTCAAGAATATTGGAATGAGCAAAGATAAAAGGAAAGCACCCTACCTAGTTAGATCCAAGCCTCTAACCCTAAACTTGACAAGAGAATAGATGATTTAAATAAACCCTTGAATAAGGGTATAAGAGTCACTTCACTTTTCATTATTTTAGTTTTAGATTTTAAGTCGTGAGGACATGGGTATCATTATTTGACCCTTTAATCTAAAGAAAAAACGACCCTAACTATTTTATTTGAATGGGGACATTGTCAAAAAAGTTTAAAATTTTTCAGATCTCAGTAGGAGAAATTGACCACAGTGACATATACATACATCAGTCTATGTTTTGTTCACAACAATCAAACACTGAATGGCCAAATGATACTAAATTCTCTCTAGCTAATTCAAACCTTTTTCAGACAAATTTCGTAACACAATCAAATAAACCCTAAAAATGCATCATGTAGCATATCTATATATACACAAATACATTTGTTGAGTTCAGATCTGCGCCCCGCAAGAGGGCGCCCCACAACACATCCTGACTTTGTATTGGGAACATCTCTCGATGATAAATTCACGTCGAAGATATTTCCAATACAAAGTTGGGATGTGCTGTGGGGCGCCCCCTTGTGGGGTGCTATCACCAGTTGAAGTGGGTTTCCCTTTCCCACACCGATAGTCCCCCTAAGTAGCACAAATAGAGGGCATGTCCTCTGTCCCATCATTCTCAATTTTCAAACAAATAAACACATTTGGAATTTTATGGAACTATGCACGGCTGCAAGAGCTGTGAGGACGGCAATTTGGTATGGCTCCACCAACTATAGGCACTAACTCTCTACCCCACGGTAGTTTTTCAGATCTCTTGCAGTTGTAAACCAACATTGTTCAAATAAAAACCCTCACTTGTTGTTCTATTATGTGTTTGACCAATATGCCAAAAACCTTAAAATTGATGAAATACATCAAGCCAAGAATTTTAACATTTAGAATGTAAAATGTTAATTTTTAAATTTTTTTATTAGCACTATTTTAGTGAGACCTTACATTCAATGTTCAAAGTACTGATATAGTCCGATACATCAGATGGGGTGCATCGGGTTCGTATAAAGAATGTCTTATCCCTGAAATAGGGTTTACCCCAAAACACCAAGGATTTTTGTGTATCGGTGACCTACTGATACAATATATATCGGCAAATATGGGYCAATACATTACAAAATTTTGATTCTTGCTTGCATTCACTTTAGGATTTGAAATCGCAGTATTCCCCTTCCCACACACATGACAAACACAAAAAAATGGAATAATTTAATAAGATTATTTTCTTTCAGTTATTCTAATCCATTTTTGGGAGTATTTAAAAAACTACTCAAATTTTCTTCATATATTTAGAAATCAGCTAAAGTTTTTCTTACTCTAAAAATAGGTTTAGAAATTTTTGTCAAAGAATTTTAGCTAAAATATAAAGATGCTTTGTGCAATTCAAGTCTTGAAATTCCACAATATAATAAATTCTTAAGGTACCAATCATCACATCTAGATTCAAACATCCAATTGCAGCCTCTCTTCAAATATGTATGAGATCAGAAAATAACTGGTATTTTCTTTGTAGAAAGTGAGTCCACCCGCGAGCTCAATTGAAAACAATCTCCAAATCTTAAAGCTTATTCAAATCATGGTATATCCAAATCTGATTAGAATTGATAATACAAATCTTAAAGCTTATCCAACTAATTGGATCTCACAAAGCTCGATTCAAATTCAAATTTGTTAGGATGTTGGATATTTGAATTTGATTTGGTCCGCATTAATTTCTAAAAAAAATTAATAAATTATTAAATGAAAAAAATAACAATTTATATAAAAAATACAAGATAAACATTTATAAATAAATAAATAAACAAACAGACATATAGGATCTAATTGGATTGTTTTGAATTTGATC